TTAATAAATTTGTAAATTTGCTTTCTTAGACAGAAAAATTAGATGAGAACCTTCATCTAAAATTTGTCGTCAAAAAGAAGAAGAAGCTTCACTAAAATAGAGACTTGCACGTCTCATTGCTTATTAATTTTGAGTTATAATTTGTAGTATTATTTAACATGTATGATGACACTAGCTCTCATATCTACTTGGAGTATTATTCTCAGCATTATTTCTGGCACATTTCTAGGCAAGTTTCATACACGTGATCACACAACTTATCACGTGATCACACACACAATATTAAATAGTACTAGTAGTGGTATAAAGGATTATTGTTCACACACATTTGAGCATCTCAAGACAAGAGGCCAAAAGAATCTATATAACATTAGTCACATAAAATGGATTTAGGATGCTAATTTGATGGATGATTGAGATCAATGAATGCACAATCCTGAATTGATTGAAGAACGCATGCCATTTGTCACAGTGGTTTTGCTCTGACTTTCACAATATTTAAGTGATTAGCATATTTAAATATATTGCTCTAATCAATGATTGATTAGGGAATATCCAAAGTAATTAGTGGATGTGATGATAAGTGCGACTGAAAATGTTCAGACATGTTCTCTGAAGTATGTAGGTGTTTCCATTAAATTGATAAGCTCAAGAAGAGTAGGCTAAAATAATACTCAAATTATTTGTCCTCATTGATTTTTATATGCTCATAAATAACCAGGGCATTTTCACTATTTTATCCTTCTTTGGTATTTGAATAATCGTAGTAATCACTCCTTATGTCACATAGTATTAATTAGTTGTTCACTTAGTTTGTCCTAAATAAACTTTTTAACATTACAAACTTGCATGTTTATACTTACAAAAACAAATTAATTAATTCTAAGGGTAAATGAGAATAATAATAATTAATTTGTCTTGATTTTAAAAATGATAAATAAATTAATATAACTATATTTAAATATAAAATAAATAATCTGAGACGTAGGAAGCAATATATAAAATTGTTTATATAGCAAGATCAAGTGTTTAACTAGGCGACTAATTTCCATTTAGAAAAATGGAATGCAGGACTCAAGAAAATCAATATCATTTTTTTCTTAAAACTTAGCAATAATTAATCAACGTAAAATAAGCAATTATGGTAAAACTTTATCCTTTTGCTTACCCACTGAATTATTAGGATAATTGAGTGGAAAATGCTTGCAATGACTCTGTCCCAACTACTTCTCTAATCAGTCTAAATCTATTATGACTTCTTTATCAACAAGCAAATGAAAATGATACCTTGAGAGGATTAATAATTAATTAACTAACTAAATATTGGTGTTTTGTTTTTCCAAAAACTTGTTTAAGAAGAAAAATAAGAATAAACTAACTGAATATATAAAGCGTAAATTGAAGTGTGTCCTTTTTCTCTCTAAGTTACTATATTTTTTTCTTGATTGTTTTGTTTAATCCCATTCCATATTTCATTTCTTTAGTTTTGCAGTTTGTTAATTAAAAAATCAATCAGCCAACCCTAATTTATTTGCAATTTATAACTTTTTTGGTCAAACTTTTAAAATTGATTTATTTTAAAGTTTTCTTTTCCTTATAAAAAAGTTATTGTGTTTGACTAATTAATTTTAATAATACTTAACAGTTTACTGTAGTAATTAGTGTTTTTGATAAAAAAGTTTTACTCAAAAACATTTTTTTTTTTGGATAAACACATATTTTCTTTCAAAAGCTTAATCAAACACCTCATTTATATTAAAAATAAACAATTTTGGCCTCCCAAAACATAGAGCATATTTTGATTTACTAATTAGTTGAGAGATATTTAAAAATCAAAATAGCTTTTAAAGCAGTTTTATAAGATATTTTTTTTTAAAAAAATACTTTTAACCGCTTATTTTGAATCCTTAATAACAAAAATAAGTTAAAATTAATAAAAAAACTAACCACCTCTTGGGTGTTTTTTTTTTATAAAATAAATAAATAAAACACAATGCTACTAGTGCTTAAAAAATTGCTGTTTACTATTCGTGACGCCCTCTGCGCTTACGCCTTAAATTAAATATTTTTGGTAAATGGTTATAGTAACATCCCTATTCTCTGGCGCTTAGCTATTTGGCGGTACAAATTTCATCATCGAAATTAATATTTAAGTTCAAAAGAATGATAATTATAGTTTATTCTCCGCATTGTTGTTATCGCAATGATATTGACATGTCAAATTCAAAAACCACTACATGCCATTCTACGTGCATTTCAATTTCTAGTATTCAACTTTCGAAACATTTCGTACGTACCATTTCTGAATATTTATATTTTGTCCTGTGCTTATGAATGCTTGTCTCTTTGTTGGGTTTAAATCAATTAATAAGTTTAGTGATGCGACTGTTTTATTAGATATTTTAATTTTGAATTTTGAATTTAATTTTTTTTAAAGTGTTTCAAATTTAATTAAAGTTTTAACGTAGTTTTTGTAAATTGAATAGAGAAAAAAAAAGTTTTTGAAGAATAGTCTACTACACTTTCTATTTTGTCTTTCTTGACTTAATTAAAGCGACTTTACTTCAAGATCGGAACCTAAAGGTATAAAATATTAATAAAAATTTTATATTAATCAAAATAGAATTTTTTTGAACAATAGCGATTTCTTCCACAAGAATTTTTTTTTAAAAAAATGGAAATCGCTGCCTAGAAAATGGCAGCGATTTTCTAAATTTATTGTTTTTTTAGAAAAAACGGACAATCTCTCATCTGCATATAGAAAATAAAAATATATTTTTAAAAAATCTATAAAAAAATAATATTTTTAAAAAGAAAATCGTTGTCTCATTTTTTTTATAAAAAATGGAAATCGCTGCCTAGGCAGCAATTTTCTAAAAAAAAAAATTGAATTCGTTGCCTAGATAGTGATTTGAATTTTTTTTAAAAGAAAATTTACATTTTACAAAATCGCTATAGTAGCAGCGATTTGTTTTTCTCTGGTGGAGGAAATCGCTATTGTTTCAGCGATTTTGCCATTTTAGTTAATATAAAATTTTATATATCATTTAAAATTTTTTTTTAATATTTTATATCTTTTAGACTCCGAACTAACTTTACTTAGCTACCTGTTGCAAATGACTCAATCATTTCAAGACTAAATTGGACCGGGGACAAAAAATAAGTTTTATGTTGCTAAAGGTTTGATTTTGGGACCAATCTTTGATATTTGTGGATATCCAATTGTCTGGGTTAATTTTTGGGTGGAATCTAGCTAATAGTTTCCTCTTTGTTTTACAACAAATCAACCTAGGGCTTAATTAGTATGTAATATTTTTAGATTTTGAAATTTAAATAAATTTACTTTTTATCATAAAATTTTTTTATAAATTTTTAAAAGATTTTAAATTATTAATTATTATGACGTAAATTTCTTTTTACATAATTTACTAATATATTAAGTTTTATTTAAAAAATTAAATAATCCATGCATAAATTCCTAATCGTAATTTGATTCTCGAAGAGAATACATCAGAAAAGAGGCAAAAATATTTTTGAATTATCACAAAAGATCTAAACATATGCCTTATTTATCTATCTTGCTAAACATATTTAGATTAACGGTTAACAATACACTTATTAATTTATTTTTAAAAAAATATTGGACGCGGCATTTTATCATTGCTCCAATTTTAAACTTGACCCTAATAAAAATCACTCATCCGATTTCACCCGACCGGCCGACTCAAATCATAACTAGCTCGAAAAACATTAAATTATTATCTATATGTCTATTTTTATTTGTCATGTTACAATTTTTAAATATTAATTTGACTAATTTTTAAAGTTAAATTAGATTACATTAATTCAATATTTTAAACAAAAAATTTTAGATGTTCAAAAACTATCTAAAAAATATTATAAATTGCAATTTTTTGTGTATCAATATGATGAAAAAATACATTTTAAAATATTAATAAAAATTCTTCTAATTTGACTCTGAACATGACGATTAAAAATGACATAAAAATTATTAAAAAGATTGAAAAAACCTAACCTCACAGACAAATGTAACTATTTTTTAAAATAACATAATCAACATATTTTGATGTCAAAATATGGGGGGAAAAATGCATACCAACTTCCGAAGATGTGTGGTAACGTTAAACTAATAATTGTTGGGAAACATATTGAGGGAAAGATGCGTCCTTTGTTATCCGTAAGTTTAAAGACTGCCATATTCTGGACAAAGAAGGAATCACAATCACTAACTTATTGACCCACAAATACAATCACTCTCTTCAAACACATGAGCAATGCACTTTTTTTGTTAACCTGTCTACAACATGTGGTGTGTTTCGATTAAGTCATATTTTATTTGCCTAATTGTAGAAGGGAAAATGAACTCTTTTTGCCAAGTGTTGTTCTAATTTCACCATCACGAGTGAAGTTAGGGAGGAGGATATTCATCAATTAGCTAACATGACCAATTCATAACGATATGGGCCTGAGATGTAGGTTATTGGTTGGGCTAGTTTACAACTGGACTTGGCTTTAATTCTAGTTCATCTAGTGATGTGATGAATAATGAAAAATTGTTCAGCCTACTTATTTCAACTCTTTGATATTTCTAGTTCTAACTGATCGTTATGTCATCCCTTTATATTTGCTATATATAATGTTGCTTATATATTGAGATAAATGATATAATTCAAAAAGAGGCTTTCTCTTCAAGTACGGCCCATAGTCTTGTGGAAGAAACAATATAAAAAGCAAAAGTAGAAAGGTTAATTTTATTGATAATCATCATCACATACTACTAAACAGCAAAAAGTAGACAATAATTCCATTAATTCATGAAATCAACTCTTTGAGTTCTAAGACTCTTCTGTCACAAAAAATTATTACAAGTAATTGAAATGAGTTTTACACGACCAAACAATGGAGTAGTTTTTAAATGCCTTTTGAGGCTTTACGTTAGAAGAAACAAGTGATGAAAAGTTTGATCATGCATGCAAAAATTAGTTGCCTTTTGGAGGATAATCCCAACATCCCCATCCCCAACAATTGCCCCCTCCTCCTCCTCCACCTCCACCTCCACCTCCACCACCACCACCACCACCTCCTCCTCCGCTACCACCACCACCTCCTCCTCCCCAGCCCCAGCCCCAACCTCCACCTCCACCTCCACCTCCACCTCCGCCCCCTCCACCACCTTTACCTTTACCTCCTCCTCCACCTCCTCCACCACCTTTACCTCCACCTCCACCTCCACCTCCTCCTCCACCACCTTTACCTTTACCTCCACCACCACCAGCTCCTTTTCTCCCACCACTTCCTTTGTCATGTTTTCCTTCATGCCCTCTACTTTTTCCATTTCCTCCACTCCCCTTTCCACCTCCTCCTCCTCCTCCTCCACCATCACCACCACCGCCTCCCCCTCCTCCACCATAACCACCACCTCCTCCCCCGCCTCCTCCACCTCCCTGGCCCCTATTTTTTCCAGCATTTTCAATATTCACCATAACATCACTCACAAAAGTTGTGTTCCTTGCATTGGAAGTAGTGACATTAACTTGAGAAAATCTCCCCCTAGTTTTCTCATGATCCACATTAAGCCCATTAACCAAACATATTGAGCTCAGAACAGTTGCAACTAACAACAAAAGTATAGCCCAAGAACCCGTCATCTTCAATATATCTCAATTAATTACTCGAGATTGCATGGAGACACACATTCATATCCAACCGATATTTATACTATTCTATCAATTATACCTTGTATGAAAAGCTTCTAAAAGTCTTAGACAATCACAATATATGACAACAAACATCAAAACAAGTTGTTCAAAAGCTAAAGAGAAGTTGGGGACTATACTAAACTGGATGAACTTTGCTTCTTACTAAATTTTGTCCCCACCTTCACTTTTTCTAACATGCTCATGACTAGTTATACTCTTTATTTTAAAGCCAAAAATGCTTAAATTAGTGTTTCTTTTGCCTCTTCATTACTATTAATCACGTGGGGATCATTGGATAGCGGCGCAACTTTGCCAGCGTTATTAACCACAATGTTAGTACATAACAACATGCATGTTTCTCCCTAATATATAACAATGGATAATTCCACTTCACATGTATTTAATTTAAATATTTTAATAAAGTAGAGTCTCTTATAAATCTCACCAAATCCCCCATTAATAAAAGTGTTTATTTTTTGTTCTTCATTCCATTCCTAATTGATAACCCAATAATGGATCCTTCATCATTAAGTTCAAGATTTAAGGTGGAAATGGTCATCAAAATTGCCATTAAAATTTTCCACCTAAAAATATTGAATGATTATCATCACACATATTTTGATTAAAAAATCATGAGAAAACAAATTGTGCGGTGAATATAATTTCAATGAGAATATTTGTTTAATTCGCTTCTTTGTGAGTTTGGTTTGATAGAAATTAGTTGCGAACGTTATGTTTTATAATCCTTTGTTTCTAAAAATGACATAGCATGTTTTAAGACCATAAGATTTAAAAACATTTTGTACATTCGATAAATCTTTAATTTAACAATATAAGATTTAATTTATCTTTTTTTAATTTCTTATATTTCATACCAAATTAAAATCAGACAAACAAATTGGAACAAAACAGCTCCAAAAAGTATGCAGTGAAAATATGGTCTTTGGTCATTGGGTGTTTCTTGGACATAATATTTTAGTGTCCCATCATTTTCAATGGCCATCTCATATACATTATAATTAGGTTATGTTAGATTCTATTGCTAACCATTAAATTGAAGTATGTAGCTGTGTTCTCTCTTTAATTTATATGATCTGTATACACGATCTCATGCACTTGTCGTTGGGGTTAATATAGGACTAAGTTGTATTGATTTGATAACAGATCGTCACCTCATACTAAGTCTAATATAGATCATATCCTAATTAATTTGAATGATATACATTCAATTAGTTAGTTTGGTTCAAACTTTAGAGATGTAGGAGTATAATTCCAAAAGAAGAGTAGGTGGATATACAAAAATAAATGTTCATGTGATGTGGACCTAGATAGAGAGGTTTTGCCTCTAACTTTAACTTCAAGGATAGGGCAATTCCTAGAAGTGTAAAGCACGTGATAGAAAGTGGTAAATGATTCAAGTCACTTAATTAGCAACTACCTATTCATATAATTGGGTGCGGTGGATTTTGGGCTCTTTCTTTTAAATTAAATTAATAAAAGTGCTGTCCAGATAGGTTCCATACCTCAAACCACTACTTTTTACATGTATCTATTTTTCTCCACTAGTTTACAGATTGGGTTTTACGTTTTGCTATGTTTATTTTTTTACAAACTACAATTAAAACAACAAATTAGAAGAGTTAAGCCTAGTTAAATCGAGAATTAAAGCAATTACAACGTAATAGGGAAGTACAAGTTTTTTTTTATAGGTAAGTTGGAAAACTAATCATCCACACGCCCCTTAATACCTTACGAGTCGAGTCTGTCGCATAGAACTTGCCTAGTACGATTTACGTAATTTGCAGGCTATTACACACTTACCAATTCGGGACAGAAGTTGTAGCAGCCGTGGGTTATACGTAGTTAAAGAAACAAAACAAATTAACCATTAAATTATTTTTTTTAAAAAAATGGAAATAGGCAGCGATTTTCTAAAAAAAAACTTTTTATTTATTTTAAAAATGAACATCGCTGCCTAGGCAGCAATTTTTTTAAAAAAAATAGAAATCGTTGCCTAGGCAACGATTTTCTAAAAGAAAAATTGAATATTTTTTTAAAAAATGGAAAATCGCTGCCAAGACAGGATTTTCTAAAAAAAAAATTTAAAAAAAAATTAAAAGTCGCTGCCTAGGTAGAGATTTGAATTTTTTTATAAAAAAATCACATTTTGCAAAATCGCTGCAGTAGCAGCGATTTTGTTTTTTCCAGTGGAAAAAATCGTTGTTGTTCCAGCGATTTTACCGTTTTGATTAATATAAAATTTTATAAACCGTTTTAAACTTTTTTTTAATATTATATACCCTTTAGGCTCCGAACTCGTAATAACTTTACCTAACGGACCCTCGATGGAGAAAGATTTGTTATGTCCATGTCTAGGACCTTAATTCCACAACTACAAAATATCTTAACCATTATATTTAACATGCCTTGATGTCTACTATAGTGGAAAGACAAATTTGTCCATGTACTATCATAAATTGAGCAACATGGGTGTGTGTCTAGATTTAGTCCTCTTAAAAAGTATTGATTTTGCTCTGGACCCCCGAATAGAGATTCATCGTGATACAAGTTATTTTATGGAAACTTAGGTAAATTTCCGTAGTTTAGAAGTTAACTATTTAGATACATTTCAGTTTGTTATATTACGAATTGTATTAGATTTGGCTGCATCCACAAACATGTATCTATGAATACATGAGGTCAAAATTAGATGTAATTTGTTCTAAATACATTGTATACAAGTGGATTCGCATGTATCTGGAATAAAATCAAATCTTGTCGATCGTCTGCATCCCTCGTCTCCCTCCCATCTCGCTTGCCGCTCTCTTGCGTATATGATGTGATTCACATATATCCAGATATATAACAAATCTCGCTCGCCTTTCTCCCTATTTTAGTTTATCTGGTAGAAAAAATACATGTATCTACGTGTATCTTCCTTAACATTATATAGTAAAAAACCTTTAATTAGTAGTAAGATATATAATATTTTTAAAATATAGATAATAATAGTATATACAGACTTGGTATATATAGCAGTAGAGTACATCTAATTATGTAGTTTCTATATGCCGTTCCGCTAACGGGCTTGTAGTCCAACAAACACGTTGCAAGTCCCAAAGGTTTGGGCCCAAACGATAAAACACACTTTTTGTTTCTTTAATTTCTCCTTCTTAATAATACTATAGTTTGTGTGTGTAAGTTCAGCAGAATGATATTTTTGTAGAATTAATTTAAATTTAAAATAAATTATCTTTTCCTTTAGTAAAATAATTTATAGATATACAACTTTCAAATGGATGGTTCTGGCATCGACAAATTCAGCATGATTACAAGGACTAAAAGAAGTCTAGACATTGAATATAATAATACACACATAAAACAAAGGGACACCTTATAAGACGACACCAGCAAAACCTTCAATTTCTACGGTCTCCTATGAACCCAACTGCGGTTGTTTTACTCCTTTTTGTTTAATGTTTGTTCTTTAAATATTATTTAGGGGGTAAATATATATATATATATATATATATATATATATATATA